ACGTTAAGCAATTCATCTGTAAATGTCCCAAAGTTGTAATTTATTTAAGTTGTTAATTTGAGAATTTAATATCCTCATTTTACTGGACAATGAAGTATTGAAAAGCCTGGAAATTCACCTGAAATATTCGTTTATTTTAGTTAAATAATCAATTGATACCACAAATTACAATCATTTCTCAAATAAAAATTTCGAAAATCTTAAAAAAAGAAGCAAAAATGAGCAAAAAATTCCCATAATCACACCTTTTTTTACCAGTTAAAAAAGATTGAACAAAAAAATGATTGCTGATAATTTTAATTTATCAAAATTTTTAATACATTTATAACTAGCGCTTTTTCATTCTCTCTGCAATTTAAAATTTAAGTTTCTGCCTGACCTTTCTTATTTTTAAAAAATTTGTTTAAATTCTCTTCATTTCTTTCCTTTTTTCATTTCATTTTCAACAATCCTTAATCCAAAGTACCAGAAAGAGGGAAAAAAGAAATGATAAAAAAAATGATAAAAAAGATAAATGATCTATTTCATCGTTTTTTCTCCTCTGTTGTTGTTCATATACATTTCTTATGTCATCAATGTGTTGTTCCATAAGGTTGCTTTCTCATTTATTTCCGATAATTTTCAAGCTCTTCGATTCACTTCTTATCATATCCTTCATTCACTTTCCCTTCCCAACTTGATAAAAAAAAATCATTCAAAGCGAACACCGCGCCGCTCATTTGTCGCATCTGACTTTGCTATCTGTTAGAATGGAAAATAGCCTAGATGCTCTTCTTTTCCCTTATTAGTTTTCTAATTATTATATTTACTAATTACAAAACTATTCATCCTATTTACTAATCATAAACTTTTCATTTTTTTTTTAATCTCTATTTGTTATCATATTTTCTCAATATCTTTTTACTTATTTCCAACCAATGATCATTTTTGTTTTGCATCTTCTCTTTTGTGCGTTTATTACAGTAAATTCATAAACTAATTTATTTTTTCTTTTTTTTAAAATAGTTTAAAAGCTTTAATTGAGTAATTATTAACCTAAGATTTTTTCATTTCACAGTCTTTGCTCTCTTTAAAATCTGTTTACTGTCACATTGCTGATATTTCATTTGTAAACATAATTTGAGATAATCTAACGTATGTTTTCCCACTAATTTTACCGCGGGAACAATGATAGCATTAAGACAAATTGCGCAAATTTCAAACATCGATCGGACGATTTTGTAAAAAAAGAAAATGATTTTTTCTTTTACGTGTAAATTAAACGTCAATTAATGTTTTACGGATGCTGTTTTTTCACACAAATGTTTTCAAAAGTATTAATTTTACTATTATTAATACATGATTATAGTAGTTTATAACAAGTTTAATTCTTTGAAAAAATAATTTAAAAAAGACGATTTTTAAAGAGTAAACAGTTTTTGAAAATGTGAACAATTTTGAAACAGTAAATATTTGAAAAAGTGTAAACAATTTTTGAAAGAGTAAACGATTTTGAAAAAATAAATATTTACTATTCTGGTTTTGCTCTTTTCAATATCAAATCCGGAATTTAACCGTAATCGTTTTTAATTGTTAAAAATGGTGACTGAATAATTTTTTTTCTTTTTTTTTTCACTAATCAAGATAAATGATTGTATTTACGATTGTTTGTGCGCAAATTGTAACAAATTTAGTGATCTATTTGATAAATTATCCCAAAAATTTCCATTACTAATCGTAGGAAAATGTTTGTTAATTTTATAAACAATAATGAAATATGACAAAAATGTTATTAAATGCGCTCATGGGAAGATTCCATGGGCGCATTTGTATCACATAGATATACATGTAACTACCATAATACTAATTTATAAAGTATTGATTTTTTTTTTCCTATTCTTCATAACAATAGTTTTCATTTCTTCCGAGTACAATTGACGCATTCAGAAAGGAAAACGAATTAGGGGAAATGATGCAGTCTTCTGGAAATACGATTCCGTTTTTTCGTTTCATTTCCCTTCCTCTTCGTTATGCTTAACTTCAATTTCGTATTTTTTTTCTTTTTTTCTTTGAGGTAAGGATCGGGACAGGAATTTGGGAGAAGGAAGAGGAAATGGAAGATATGTATGGTGATCTTTAAGCAGGAAAGCACCATGGCAACATAATCGAGAAATGTTAAAAAAGAAAAAAACTTTATCAAAATTCAATTGTGATAGAGAAGGTAAAGGAAAAATGAGGAATTATTATAATTTCAATCATTATTATTCCGTTTCCGGAATTTTTTTACGTTTCTTTTTTTCTCGGAAAATTTTTTGCACTATCACACATCGGTATTATAATATCAGATAATACCGGGAAGAGAAAGAAGGAAGAAAAATGGGGAAGCAAGAAAAGATCAGAAGATGAATTTTCCAACTCGAAATCTTATCCAAAAATTATTTGGTGGAATGATTTTGAATGATTAAATTTTTTCGCCTCAATAATCATCTCTCTTTCTCCTCCTGATATTATTTCATATTATAATATCAATTTGTGATAAGATAAGAAATTTCGGATATGGAAGGATATGGAATATTAGATGTATGCTAATATAGCATTGAGAATTTCTAAACCGTTTTGTCTTTTAACAAATAAAAACAAAACATGAGAGATTACTAAGCATGAGTGATTCAAAGTAAATTTCAATTAATTCATATATAGGTCAAGCAAAGTTGTGAAATAGAAATGAATCCATCAAAATACAATATTGCATATTAAAATTAATACAAAACACTAGTTCGTCACTATATTTTAATGATGAGTTATCGATTTTTCTTCTTTTAGTAATTGGCCTTTTACAAATATCTTGGCTCATTTCTTCCTGTAAAAAAGAAAAGAGTCTAACCTAAAAGATTGAAATTTATCAAAACATTGATACATTCATGTTATTATGCTAATTCAAAATATAAGAAGATCCTGAATTAAAATGATAATTTAAAAAAATCGATTTTAACTAATTGTAGAAGGAGTTTTGTAAAATATATGCACAAATGTACATTAAATGACCAAATAGATGAATGACCACTTCATCTATGAATAAGTCAATATATTTTGTTTTCTTCTTTTCATTTAGCAAACTGCTTATTCAGTAAAATATTCAATTATAAAGATTTTATTTTCTATTTTTTAAATTTAATTTTCCATGCAGCTGCTTTCTTACTAAAATATTCAGTTATAAAAGATTTTATTTTATTTATTTTTTAAATTAAATTTTTTCAAGCAAGAAAAATTTATTTTTTGTATGAAAATTTTGAACTGAATACGATCAAATCATTATCGTAATGAACTAAGCTTTTTGCTTATTAAGTTTTCTTTCCTTTTTTTCTCTGGTAATTGCTAAAAATATTTCGAGAAAATTTTAGCCGAACTTTCAATAACAATTAGCAAAGTTAGTAATTAGTAAAGTTAGGAATTAGCAAAGTAAAACTAAATAGGACAAACTTTTATTGCTAAAAAAAGAACAACTATTAAGTCATTTTGTTTTTCCATTTCTCCTTAGTATTATCAGGCTTTTCGTGCTCTTTTTTTTTCTCGTTTTTTTTACGGTTAAATTCCAGAAAGGAAAAGATAGAAATTTTGAAAGCGCAGTAAAATTTTTTGAAATCTTATAAAATTTCATTCTAAATTTATACTTCAAAGGTTAGAGCATTGTTGAAATTTTGCATAAGATTGAAATTTCGCCATTACCAAATATATCATCAAGAAATAATAGTGGAATGGAGCAGCCGCATTATTTTGAATTACTCTACTACTCATATTTATGGCTTCGACGTAGTCGGTAATTCCTTTTCTTATAATTAAATTAATTGATCATTCAAAGAAAAAAAATATCACAATAAAACTGTAATACATTTTTTTTTCCAAAAAAAAGTTTTTTTAAAACTCCAACATTTTAGGAAAAAAACTTAGAATAAGTCGAGTTGAATTTACGAATTGATGAACTTTGAACTTGTCATCTAGTAAAGATTTCATTCAGATACCAGTGATATGTACTATACAAATAATTTTCGTCAATGTCCTTTGTTTTGTATCCGTCAAATGGTTTTATTTATCCTTGACTTGTAATACTTTCATTGAAATTTTAACGACAGTCTATTTAATCGTCTCATTTTTAAGTTTGAAAAATAATAGGACAACTGGTAAAAAAAAAAAGGTCCACATATGTGACAAATGTCTTAATCTTTCTACCTTTACTGTACTATCTAATTTCATGTTATAGTCACGTCCTAAATAAAAATTTCAATAAAGTAAAAATATTCCAAGTAATTTTTAAATAATTTTTTCTTGTTCAACTGATACTGGGGCATATATAGTACCGGTAATACCATCTTTTAAGATTTCTTGAATCTAATAACTGTTACTAAAGACATGAAAGCGCAGTTGATAGATTTCAGAATTTCTTAAATCTAAATTATATCAATAAGTAATCTATTCATATTACTGACTGAGGGAAATCTAATTTTGTAAATCTTTGATTTGTAAAATGTTCAAAAACCATGATTTCAACTTTTTGAAAATGAAATAGAAGAAAGGAAGAAGTTAGATGTCTGTTAATTTTCAATTCGAAAATTTTAATTTTTACTTTTATGACCAAATTAATTTAAAAGGAATAATAAGGAGAAAATGAGGAGAAAAAGTTTTGGAAATTTATTCAAATTATGCTCGATTTTTGTACTTTTTGGATATTTTTTTCATTTAGGCCAAATTCTTCATTTCTTCAATTATTCCTTTTTCATTTTTAAAATTTACTTGCAAAACTCAAAAATTTTTTTCCAAAAAAAGAAAAAAAAACGAACAAACGTAAGCATTTTTTTTGACGATTATGGATATTTGTCATTTTTTGAGCTAAAATTACTTCCGTTTCATGTTTGGCATGTATAAATGCATTCATCTATGTGAAATGCAACGAATAAAACCATTCAATTTTCCTCATTTTTTAATAATCAAAAGAAAAACTAATTTGTGGACAAAAAATTTTGGACTCATACTTTTCGTTTAGACTTAAAATAGGAAGAACAGAAAAAAAGAAACGAAAAAGAAAAGGAATGAAGTAAGAACGGAAACGGAAAAGTTTTTTTTTGCTACAACTTTCCTCACTTTTTAGCAACTAAAAAAAGCCTGATTTATGGCTGAAAAATTTCTGGCTCATACTTTTTGTTCAGTCTTAAAATAGGAAAAGTGAAGGAAATAAATTAAAAAGAAAACAAAAAATTTTTTTCTAATTTCAAAGTATGGAACAAATTAATTCTATGATTTCATTTATTAAAATGAAAATTATTGTTGTCTGGAATTAATCATAAGCCAATTTTAACCGTTCTATTAAAAAGAAAAAAAGATATTCAATTTCTAATTACCATAATTAAATGACTGATTGCTTTTAGCGTTATTATTATTACTACTGTCAGTATCACTAGTAATAGTGATAACAATAATATATTAAAAGTTGTAGTGCGTTATAGTATGATTTTAACTACTTCTCTCTTTTATTACACCAAGAATTAATTTTATTGCACACTTTATGAGTAATAAACTTTGAACAAAGCGAAAGATTTAAAAAAAAAAAGCAAATAATAAATGAAAAATTAAAAATTACATAGAAAATAATTCAATTCAATGGCTAAAATGAAAAAAGAAATACATACGAAATTAATAATTGTTGACAAATATTTTTATGATTAATTAGAAGGAAATTTCATTGATAAAATAGTACAATAAGCAATCAATATATGCTAAACTAAACTAAGCATGCTTATTTATCATATTCTTAGAAATTAAAAGCACTAAAGCTTTCTGGTTGTCCCATTGGGATATTATTTGGTTTGAAAAAAAAAAAAAGATATCGTATAAAAATTTGCTATCACAATTTGCTTATTTCATCATTTTATGTTAGTTTAGGAACAAAGAGAAACTAAAGAAAAGAAAAGAATTGAAGAAAAAAAGAGGAAAAAAAAAGAAAGAAAGAGGAGAAAAAAGAGAAGAGAAAAAAATTAAGAAATGTATTACTCATTAATATAAAAGTAAAAAAATGAAAAATGGGAAAAAATTCGATATTATCTTCTTTTTTTTTTTCATAAATTATATTATTTTCATTTCTGATTCTTCCATCATTAATTTCATTTCATTTCAAATTTATTTCCAATCTATTTCAAATTTCTTTTTTTTTGCTTCAATAGGTTTTCGCGTAAATTTTCAATTGAAAAAATTATTTTCCTCAACTCTTATAATATTATTTATGTGTTATAAATTGTTCACAACAAATAAGACTTAAATCCAACCAAATATCGATGTATTATAGGCTCTTGGCTTGACTCTTTTTTTTTTTTCTCCCATTTAGCTAATAGTTTACTTCGAAACACTAAAGTTTTTAACATTACCATAAATGCATCTTCATTTCTCTCATTGCAAAAAGATCCATACATACATCATTATGTATTAATTTTGTCAGATTTTCCCAAGACTCCTTATTGCTATTTTAGCTGCTTATACGGGTTAAGTTAGCTTAGCTCAGTTAAGTTTCAAGCTTAGCAATATTCTAATCTAAAGCTAAGCCTAGCTTTTCTCATAGTGCAGACTATATATGTCGTACGCATACAAATATAAACATAACCTACACACACACACACACACACACACACACATGCATACATACACACATACAAAACATACACACACATATATACACATATACACGCACATACACATACACACATACATGTACTACTCATTCTATCATTCTTCGCTTTTCATATTCTTCTACTTCTATTTTTTTTCCATATCAAGCCAAGTTTTCCCAACTGTGAACCATTTCATTTATATCTTTGTCTTTTTTTCTAAATTATCACTTAAATCAGGCTATCTATCATTTTAACACTTTAATTATCATTAAATTGCTCGAATTAATGAGTTCGAAATATTTGAACTAATTTATCTCATCAATATCGTATAGCTTCTTATGTTTGCAATTCTTAGCTCTTAGCATCTTAGCATTATTGTTATTATTATTACTGTTTTGTTATTATTGTTAATATTACTATTAGTATTATTATTATTATTATTACTATTATTATTATTATTATTGTTATCATTATTATTATTATTATTATTATTATTATTATTATTATTATTATTATTATTATTATTATTATTATTATTATTACTATTATTATTATTATTATTATTATTATTATTATTATTATTATTACTTATTAGTTATTATTATTATTATTATTATTATTATTATTT